GCTGGACAGAGAGACTGAAGCTTGCCCTATCCATGGAAAACGTATTCGCACCTTATAAACCTCTACCTTCTCCTACTCCAGCTGAGCGGAAACAAGCTCAACTTCTGCTTGCAGCTTTCTCTCACTTGCCTTTTAATGTTCTTGTGGACGAAGTCCCTCTCAAGAACCTTCGATGGGCTTGTGATATTCTGACTAGGGGCCATGTCCTTAATCCCCTTGCTCAGGCAGAACTTCATATGTTTTTGGACCAACTTCCATTGCTCCTTCACTAGCATCGAAATTCTGTGGCTACTACACAATCTTTAGACCAACTTTCGTCTCTTCGAATTTATGCTCAGTACGAAGCAGAGAACTTCTTTGAAGAATTCGGTGATTTCAAGAATAAAGATTCTGCGTATTGGGATGACTTAGACATTGACGAATTGGAACAAGGATTAAGAGAGGTGGCTTTCGAAATAAAGGCTGAAGAGCTCTATTACGAAGTGAGAGTACATCAACTTATGCAGCCAATGCTAGAAGACTTGGAAGATAGAATAAGGAAAGAACAAAAGTTTATTGATCATTGTTGGACTAAATTTCATGATCTTGTTATTTATTCCATTCCTTATTTTTATGAGCTCGAGTTCATACCGAGATAGGGTTATCTGATGTAATCGTTTTGGTTTTAATATGAACAAAATTCTTCTTCATTTGGCATTGTCTGACCCTGCTTTCACTTGTGTTTTAAAAGTCAATTCAGAGCTTCAAATTTTGAACAATTTCATCATTTGCATCTGGACTTAATTGTTTTAAATGAAACACTAAAAGAGCCAATTATGAACCTTTCCAATTTGTGGAATAAAGTTGACAGTTTTGGCTGATTTTCAATTAGAAACAGTGCTTCGAATCTAGCAATCTTATACTTAAAGTCTGTTTTGACCATAGTCAACATCTAGTCATTGTCATATTGCTTTTGATGTTTCAAACACCAAATCCCATTCTTAAAGAATCTCAAGTTTTGCCTCAAAGGACATTACCTTTGTTAAAAACCTAAAAACAGGTCTTTAAACTCTTTGAAGTGAAATAAACACTCGAGTATTCTTATATTTTGGGTATGGAAACCTGCTTCGAAGCGGGCTTCTCTGTTTCGAAGCCGTTTTTTTTTTTTTTAAATTTAAAACCACGCCATCAATGTACAACTTGGCTTCTGCGAAATCTGCACAGGCTATGAAAGGTTGAGGATCTGCATTAATTTCCTCCGTCTCCCCGTTGCCTAGAGCTATTATCATTTTCTGATGCAAAGAGGAAGGCACACATTTATTAGTGTGGATCCAATCTCTACCAAGTAAAGCATTGTACTTCGCATTGCTGTCGATGACGAAAAACGCCGTCATGCAGTCCTTGGTTCCCACACTCAGGTTGATGGGTAGAATTCCCTGGGCTATCTGTTTGTCTCCAGCAAAACCAGCAATGGTTGTACTGGTTGGGATCAACCTGGGATTCTTTTTCTCTAATTTCTTCAAGGAGGATTTCGGTAGTAAGTTCACCGCTGCCCCATTATCCACTAAGACTCGGTTTAACTGTATCACATCGAAGAAGGCCTTAATGTACAAAGGCTTAACGTGCTATGTTATAGAATTCGAGGGATACTCAAATGGATACGAGAGGTTAATACTTGCCACTTCTTCACTCTCGTACTCAGCTTCCATTGGGGTAACCATTCCGAAATTATCTTGTATCATACTCGCTTGTGAATCTTCACTAGAGATTGGAATTGGATCAACTTCTTGCCCCTCTTGATTCTCATCTCCAGCTTGGAATTCCTGCGGTAGTATGTGTACCATGTTTACTGATACTGGGGAAAACGAGCCAAACTGAATGGCTGGCTGTACCTGTTTCCCCTCTTGGCCACCTTGGTCAATTACCTCAGAAACATCCTGCATGCTGCATTCTGGTATTTCATTGTTAACAGGTTCCTTTGAATGATTTTCCTCAGCTGGTTTTCCAACCAAAAATGTTTGCTTGGCCATGAAAGCTTCGAACATTTCTTCTTCCACCATTTCTTTCTTTTGGCTCATGCCAATTTCTTCTTCTGTCTCGCTACCACTCTCCATCAAAGCTTTCTCCAACCCTGCTAGGCTATCCTTCTCTCTGACTTTTAGTTCAGAATGAACCTTGGCCAACTGTTCTCTGCTGCAACCCACCTCGTTTTGTAGAACTGGCTTTGGAGTATAGTCTGACTTTCGATTCTTCTTTTCTCCAGTCTGGATCAATGAAGAACTCTCTCCACTTTCTTTCAGGTCTTGTTGGTATTGGGTGTACCTACGCTGAATTTTCCTCCTTTGTGATCTGGAAATAACGGGGACCATATCTAGTTCCTTCGTTCTTGGGTGTTTCAACAATACCCAGTTATTGGGGCCTACCAAAGGAGGCTTAACCATCCTACCTTGATTTCCAACATTCCTTTGGGTAGGCATTTCCCTGGGTTTGTTTTACATCACAAACCAATCTGGGACCCCAGGTACCCACGAACTTACTGACCCAGACGTTGAACTGCCCTTTTCTTCCTTCGAGGTCACCTTCGAGGCTGGTTGTGAAGACAATTGTTTGGCCCTATCTCCAAGCTTTGAACTTGATTCAGGCTTTCGATGATGGTGATCATTTTCTGTCCTTCGTGAAGCTAGTCCAGGGGGCCAATTTCTGGGTTTGATCCTAAAATCTGAACTCTTCTCCAATCTTCTTTCAGAATGACTACTCTCCATTCTGTAATAGTTAGGTGACCTGGTCTCATATAAGGGCCCCTTGCCTTTAGCATGCATTCTATCAACTGCAGGCTCAACTACCAATGGCTGCCGCCTAACATTAGCCGGATACGGCCTTTTATTATAAGCATTGGTTGGTTTGGAACGCCTCTGCACATCCCTGTTATATTGCTTCCCATCAACTAGAAGGCCTTTCAACCACTTATAACTCAGTCTGCACCTGGGACACATCCTTTGCATTACGGCTGCCTCTAAGGAGTCATCATCCAGTGCTTCTTCATCAGAGTCTTCCCTCTGACGTGAGAAATCTAGTCCAATAGCTGGTAGATTTCTAGTGTCTTTTTTTATTGCTGTTTGGTTGGCCACATGCATCTGTACATTGACTTCTTCCAATTCTTTCAAAGACAGGTTCTGAAAGTCTGACATAATGACATTGGCTGCCACCTCTCCAATTTCTGGAAATGGATTGCTATCGATCCCCGTGGCTTTTTCAGCTTTGGCTGGGAATTTCAAACTCCCTTTTCGAATTTGTTCTTGGATCCTGTCTCGAAAAACAACACAGTTTTTAGTCGAGTAAGACCAAGAATTATGCCATTTACAATATACTTTTCCTTTCAGTTCATCAAAAGATGGAATTTTATCCCCTTTTGGTAACTTAAGGAAGTTGGCCACAAGCAAATGATCAAAAATATCATCTGCCTTAGTTAAATCGAAAGAATACTTCCTGTGGAGATCTTTCTTTTTAAACTGCTGGTCAATTGTCGTATCTTTATGAATTAATACTTCACAGATCATAGGTTCTTTTCCCACAATCTCTGCTGCATCAATCTCATAATTAGGATCTTTGTAGTATGTCCTATATGATGCATTATTTCGATTTTATTCCTCTTCTAGTAATGCTTCATATCTAGATACTTTGTAAGTCAGTTCCACTAAATCCCTGAACTCTGTTGAATCAAACTTCTTTCGAAGCCTGAACTCTAAGCCATTTTGGGCCAATTTTACGAATTCTGGTTCTGGCAAGATTACTCTACATTTATTTCGAGCCCTCTTGAATCTGGAAATAAACTAAGTAGCCTTCTCTTCAGGCCTTTGACTCAATCTTGCCAAGTCTGCCATGGAAACTTCTGGTTCTGATTGGAAGAATTGGGCATGAAATGCCTCTTCCATTTGCTGCCAAGTCTGGATGGAGCCAGGTGGAAGGTTAATGTACCATACAAATGCTGCCCCAGTTAGAGAATTTGGGAATAGTCTCAACTTCATATAGTCATGATTGGTAAATTCACCACATTGAGCAGCAAACCTAGCAATATGCTCTACTGTTGATTGGTTTTCGTTCCCATGAAAAAGGACAAAATCTGGTATCCTGAAACCTCTTGGATATTCATGTACCCTGTCGACCCATTCTGGATATGGTTTTTTGTACACAAGAGTTTGGACCCCCCGAGCCATTGGTCCACACAACTCCCTAACTATATCGGTAATTTGATCCCTATGGACCATATTTTGTGCCTGCTGAACCACTACCGGGGGAACAAACACAGGATTTGGTGGACAAACTTATGCGTGTGGTCCTCTTGGTCCATAGGGTGGTACATTTGGGACTGGCTGTCCCTGTGGTACAGGTTGCTGTTGGGGGTGTAGGTAACCTCTTTGAGCCTATCCTGCGAAAGGACCCACGAAAAGTGCTGGAACAGGTATTGTATCCCTTCCATTTGTAGGAAAACCTTCCAACCCCCCGTGTATAAATTCGAATAAGGGATTATTGTACCCCCTAGTGCCAGGTATGGCTTCGAATGTGGGGTTTGGAACCATTCTTATGCCATTTTCTTGTATTGGGCCAGATCCACCAATTTGCATGGCTTCACTGTTGAACATTGAGGCATTCTGGCCTACTACAGGCCTCGAAATGGGTTCGTACCAAGACTGAGGTGGTAATCTTTCATGAATCTGATTACTGGTTTGACCATTAGAATGTCTATTAACTTGCATAGGCTGTTTATCTCTGGCCAATCTTTGCTGAGGGACATTTACTTCCCCATGTGTCTTACATTTATTGGTTGGTGGTTATTCATGCTATCCAAAAAGGATACTGCCCACCTTTCCATTGTGTTTATTAATTGTTGTCCCATGGCATCTACTAAACCACCCCACGGATTTACTGGCTGAGTAGATGGGACATTGGATGGTCTAATTCCTTGGTCCCGTCCACTATTACGAACAAATGGTATTTGCTCTGAAGTACTGGTCTATTCGACCATGGGTTCCGATAAGATAGGAGTCTCCACAGGATGTGTTATCACATTATCCTCAGGATTAGGTATCTCCATTTCTCCTTTCACACCTTCTTCCAAACGTTCATTTTCTCCTTGTCTCCTACGTCTAGCGATTTTAAATGGTCCCACTGGGCGTGCCAAAAATATATGTTGGTTTTTTGACTTTCGAAGGTTATTTTTGTAATTATGAGCGTGCCAGCAAGGATCAATCAGTCCTTACAGAATTGTAATTGCCAACCAATTATTCAGACGACTGTGTTATGGTTCTTTCAGCCTCAATGAAGAGGACTTTTACTGGTGGCTTACTGGTAGCTTGATTTAAGAGAATTTAAGCATAAGAATAGTTAAATAAATTGAAGCATTTCATTAGTATGAAAAATTTACAATGATCTCAGCCTCGTAGAGATTTACAGTGGAAATATACTCGAAAACTACTCCTACAAATGAAGTGCAGTGCAAGGATTTAAAGTACAGAAATGTAAAATACAGGGAATAAAACTGGAATTTGTAAAGTAAGACTGGTTTTCTTTAGATTTTTTGCCTCTTTCTCTGAAGTCCTTCCTGCTATTTATACTCTTCAAAGATAACCATCGAACTGCACTTCAAACCGTCGAACTGCTCCTCCGTGATCGCTGATCATGCTACCTTATAAGTAGTTCCACTACGCCTTCACTTGCAGTTAGGCTTCCCTCCTATATTTGATTTTGAATGTGAGTAACCGTTGAAGCCACGTCACCTTGCATCTCTTTGTCGATCCGCTGCTACTCAGACCTTATAACAACCAATATTAACTGCCACGTGTATGATCAGGATCGAAGACTTGACTGGTCTTCCCATATTACCCTTACTTTGTCACACGTCGAATTGTCACTGACTTGCACAAAATATGTAGCCAACAATACCATATTTGACAATAGTTGAAATAAAGTAAAATATAATTGACTTTAACAATAATAATAAGTCAACAATCTTATTCTTGTTTATTTATTTAATTTTTATTGCATGGCTTCTTTTGTTTCCATATAGGTCCACTGGAGTTCGTAATTCAAAATTACACCGGGGGTCTACCAAAATTGAGATATTATCCATACGCATGGACAAAGGTGAAATAATAATAATAATACTTAATCTTGGTGCGTATTTTTATTTTCTCTTATTTTAAATTATTATTAAAATAATGGTGAAAATTTTAATTTCAAGAGTGCTAGCATTATATTTCTTGATGCACATGTGGGGACCGGGTTCTCCTATTCAAGAACCGCAGATGGTTGGCCAACTTCAGACTCCAAATCAGCAGCACAGTCTTACCAATTCCTTAAAAAGGTTAGAAACTACAAAAATTGTTATGATAGACACATCGGATAAATCATATGATGTTACATAACAATATCACTAAATCAAATTTTTTATATTTCGATAGTGATAAAAAGACTATCTGGTTAAGTTTGAAAGAGCCGAGATATCTTACTTAATTTCAATCATATTTTTTTATTAACAAATTGGATCCCATATGATTTTGTCTCGATTGGACTCTATATTTGTTACTCGTGCACATACACTTTCAACCTCTTTATTGGAAGCTAAGGGTAACAATTAGTTCAAATTTAAAGATAATATTTTAGGGATTACATTTTTTTTTTTTTTTTGTGTGTGTCTTGAGCAAACCTGATTTTCTATATGTATCATGGTTTTAATTTTAATTATTTTTTAAAATTTTGCTCCTAATTTGCTTATATTTTTGTTGTGATATATGATTGCAGTGGTTTGATGAACACCCTCAATATCTAGCAGTTCAACTATTTGTTGGTGGTGATTCTTATTCAGGCATTACTGTCCCATTGGTCACGAAAAAGATTGTAGATGGTGACTTCTTACTCTCTTCACAACTAAATCTTTAATTTGCACACAATAGTCTCTTCATTGATACACATCTCCTCTATAAATTCCAACCCTTTAAGCTTACTTTTTGTTTTGTGGGTTTGCAGGTAATAAAGATGGAGTCAAGCCATTTATGAACCTCAAGGTACATGTTTCAATATAAAAGGAACTTGGATACTTCTAGTTAGTCTCTTAAAATTCTTTTAATTCATTGGTCGTTAAGTCTTTAAATGGTATAAATCAATTTTCTTTGAACAGTTATGTTACAAATCAAAGGAAAAAAAAAAATCACAGAAAAGAATGCAGTAGTATGTGGGTCCCACCCAAATTGATGAAAAAATTATGGGTTTTTAGTATTAATGCTTCTTTGAATTTGAAGGAAGCCTCTCAATAGTCCACCAATCAATGCCTATCATGTGCTTGTTAAAAAGCCTATGTGAAGTAGATGGCATGTTGGGTTATCCTTTTTGTTTTAGTGGACTCATGATGTTATGTAAGGATTAATTGTTGGGTGTTTGTGGGTTTTGAGGTTCTTATGATTGGTAGGGCACATATCAATCTTGTTGGGATGTGCCTTTTATGCAATTTTCTATTTTTTCTTTTTTTTTTTGTTTTGGGGGTATAGATAATGGTGTGCTGTCTTTTCTTTAGTTAAAAATTAGTTGTTTTGGCTGATCCAAAAGGCTTCTTTGTGTTTGAAATGGTGTCAGGGGTGCTTACTTGGGTGCCCACAAACAGATTCAGTTATTGATGAGAATTCGAAAGTAGTTTTCGCTCATGGGATGGCACTTATATCGGATGAGATTTATGAGGCGATTTGAACACTTCCGCTGTAAAATCACCGAACATATTCACATTTCATTCTAATACCTGATGTGATTTCCATGAGGTGATTTGAACTATTCCACTGTAAAAATCACCTAATATACTTACACTTCATTTTGTTATCTGATGTAAAAATCACCTAACTTCAGATATCAGACAATTTAGAGGCATTTATTTATGTGCAGACTAAGCATATGTAGTTCCTTAAATGTTACTTTGTAGTTCTTTAAATGTTACTTTGCATACAAAGTACAAACTATTGTCATCTTCATCATTTTTTTTGAAAACATCTTCATCATCTTCATCATTGAAAGTCAAATTTTAGCCCACAAAAAGCTGATTTTTCTAATTGTAATGGTTTAATGCTCAGCATATGTAGTTCTTTAAATGTTACTTTGCATACAAAGTACAAACTATTGTCATCTTCATCATTTTTTATTTTTTTTTTGAATACATCATTATTGAAAGTCCAATTTTAGCCCACAAAAAACGGATTTTTCTAATTGTAATGGTTTAATGCTCTTTCCAGAATGCCAAAAAGGGTTGCAATGAGAATTACATGAATGTAGACCCAGCAAACACAGCATGTATGGTTGCGCTTGGCAATATCAAAACAGTTAGATGGATCATTACTTGTTTTTAATTTTAGTTCAAACATAGTCTTCTTCAAATTCTTTGGGCTTGAAGGTTGAATGAAATCTTGACTTTGCAGTGCATTAAAGATCTGTTTCGCAATGATATTTTGGAACCGAAATGTGTTTTTGCAAGTTCTGACCCTGGAGAAGAACTTGCAGCACGAAGGTCTTTTGAAGAAGGTCCTTCAGATTTCCTTCTCTCACCTCCAATGATCCCGGATCTTTGGCGCCGAGTAATCTCTCTCTCTCTCTCTGAACTTTTTTTTTTGTGTTCTCATTTTTCATATTTTCAGAAACTAAGCAATAAAAAGTTCAAAAATACCCACCGTCTTCAATTTTGTGTGAAAACAATTTTAAAAGTAGTAGACAACTTTTTTGGTGTTACATAAAAAGTGGGTTATTTTCAGAATATTATTATTAACTTTTCTTTCTTTTTTTTTTTTTGGAAATAGTTCACAAAACAAGATTCACTCTCTTTGAATACACATTGTACTAGAAATGTAGAGAGCTAGAAAGTTGAACTATTTTACTTCTTTTACAAAATTTTAATTATGCACTCTTCTACATCTGGTCAAATGATGATACTGTTCAAGAAGCTTTACATGTTCGAAAGGTATATTGAATGATCACGGCCTTAATTATATATACTTTATATGATCCCATTGAATGACAAATAACGAATCAATGATGGTGCACAATTAGGGATCTGTATTGAATTGGGAGAGATGCAACAAGAGCTTATCATACACAAAAGACATCTTGACTGTTGTTCCAGTTCATGGAGAACTCAAAGAATTAGGCTTAGAAGTGCTGGTAGAGAAAAGCTTACTTAACTTCCCATGATCTTGGCTATATTTTGGTATTTTGGATTTGTATGAGACAATCAAATGATCAAAGATACAACTTATGATAGAACTCATGATGAAAACCAAGGATGTAATATGCTAAACCTGTATTGTTTGCTAGATTAGGCAGGACCTAAAAGCATATATATTAATGGAAAATGGAATGCAAAGAGAATTTTTATACAAAACCCCTTTCAGACTGATGAGTCGCAATAGTTTGTGTTTTGATTTTAAATGAAAGTATCAGAAGAGGTGATCATTTTGGCATGAAAATTTATGTACAGAATTTTTATTTGTATATAATTACTCTTTTTGACATTATGAGCCAGAGTGGGTTTTGATTTGAAATGAAAAGACTAAAATCATTGTGTATAACAATTCGGTACAAGTAAGGTTACTTTGAATGATTCAATATTCACCTTACTAACTTCTTATGTATACAAGGAAGAAAGCAAATTGAATTTTTCAGCCTCATAACAACTCTTATGAATCAGACAGGCAAAACTGAAGGTTATTTCTAATCTACTGGGGCGCATCTTGAATTAAAACAATGCAAGCTGCCTCATACTTTGCTAGCTAGGCAATAATTAATGTGATGAACTTAAGTGAATTTAGTTATGTTTGAGCCAAAAGTATTCGATCTTTGCTCGCTAAAATATTTCTTCTCTTTTCTCCACAGTGGTGACCGTGACATGGTTGTTCCATTTGTGGGTACTGTGAAATGGAAAAAGTCTTTGAATTTGGCAATTGTCAATGATTGGAGCCCATGGTTTGTCGACGGTCAAGTTGCAGGGTAAGTTTTTTTTTTTTTTATACTTTCAAGTTTCTTATGATCTTATAAGGTTTTTAAATAAACTTTTTGATGAATGCAGATACACAGTAAACAATTCTGAGTATGGGTATCGTTTGACATATGCAATTGTAAAAGTAAGAAAAAAAAAAAGTCTCTCGATTACTTTCTTCACTGTGAAGTACAAATTAAAAATTAAAGAAAAATTATATGCAAGATTTATTTTTTTTGCTATTTACAGGCCTATGCTGAGCTCGAGCTTGGCTCGTTTACTTATCGAGCTCATTTGTTGAGCTCGAGCTCGACTCGATAAGGAACTAGGCTCAAGCTCGGCTCGGCTCGGCTCGTTAATTTTAATGAAACTCGAGCTCGGCTCGATAATTTTTTTTAATATCATTTATATTATTTAATATATAAAAAATGTATTTATATTATTATTTATATATATATTTATATTTTTTATTATATAAATAATATATTTATTATATAATTTAAATAAAGATAAACGAGCCGAGCTTAACGAGTCGAGCTTATGCGAGCTCGAGCTCGGCTTGTTTACTAAACGAGCCTAATATTCGAGCTCGGGCTCCAAGCCGAGCCCTTAACGAGCCGAGCTGAGCTTGTTCATGAACAGCTCGATTTATTTGCAGCCTTAATCGCAGGGAATGCTATTACATGTTTGACAAATGGATTCATTACTATCCTATTTAGTCAATATATGTGTATATATATATATATTTATATCAGGCTGATCAAGTTAATATGTTCCATGAGTTCCACCTCATGTAATGAGCTTGGTTTTTTATTACATAAATTTAGTTGTGTTTTAGCCTTGTACTTATGAGAATTGAGAAGTAATATAAATCTCTAAGAAGTTATTAATGAAGTTTTACATAATTGCTTTGTTTTATGCTAAGAAATGATTGTTTGTTTTTGTATGAACTTGCTAGACAATTGAACGTGGTGGGTAGATCTAACCACAATAATTGGCTACAAAATTGACCATTTGGTGAGAAAGGGAGAAGGTGGAGAGAGAAAAAGACACAGTGAGCGTTTGAAGATATGGAAAGGTAGACGAAAAGAAAGAAAGTGTACATGTGAAAGGAAGACGGGGAAAGGGGCAAGGGTGGTGAGAGATACTTCTGAAAGGTGAGCGGGATCCAATAGAAATTAAGGCTTAGAGCATCTATATCAGTTTCTTCAAATTTTCAGTTAAATTATAATTTAAAAAGTCATTCTTTTTTTTTATTTTAGCTAGTCATTGCAGTGTATCAAACTTTCTATTCTAACTAAATCCTATTAAAATATTATTTTCTTATTATATTTGTTATTCTTTTTTATTATTATTAAATTGATGACTTACCAGTCAAACAATTCCTAAAAAATGCAAAAAAAAAAATTAATTTGCCATTGACCCGTTGATTGGCTGGTTCACCGGCCAGGCGGATGTCCGGTTACACCTAAATCGCGTGTTGTAGCAATAAACAGGTGCTCGCTTCATTAGAGGAGGTATTGTAACTTTGACAAAATGAATGAAGCCCATAGCGACTCTAATCCATCAATATATTTACAGTTTGATTCTCTACAATAGTGTCAAAGTTGTAGCGACTTTGATGCTGATTCTCTTAGTCTGGGATTTGGCTAAAAAAGTCAATTTTTTGTTTTTTGTTTTTTAGTTTTTAGTTTTTAGTTTTTTTTTTTTTTTCTTAATTTGTATCATTTTCTAAAAAATACTTTTATGGTCTGTTTAGAATAGAAGGATTTCAAAAGTTAAAAAAAAAAAAACTAAAAACTAAAAACTAAAAAAGTTTTCTATAGATAAAATTTTCAAAAAAATTTTAAAAATTGCATTGAAAAAATCTACTAAAGACAAAAAAGGCGAAAAATAATTTGACTTATTTGACGGACTGAATAAGAGAGAATTGTAATCCATCGGACTATTAATCATGGGTACATAGTCCCTGGTTTATTTGGCTAGAAATGATGTGTGTCCCATGTTTGTTTTCTCATAAGATTAGTTGTCTGGAAATGACTATTCTAGTGAATCCAATGTTTGGTTAAAATATTATTAAGAATGATAAATACTCAAAAGACTATTTTACCATTTTCAATTGTTTATTGAGTAATAGCAATAATAAATCTTTCTTTGATATTTTTTTTGGCTAGAACTTTTAAAAAATTAAGTAAATAAAGCATCAATAAAATCTAAATAAATTTATTTTATTTTTTAATCAAGACTTTAGTTGTTATTTTATTTTACTAAGTGCAATACATAATAAAACTAACATTTGTCTATGTGATAATGAGGGGAAAAAAAAAATTTGAATCTCTATCCCACCATTTGAAAAAAATTAAATTTTTATCCCATCATTTGCAAACAAAAATAAATAAATAAATAAATAAATACAAGTATTTGGGAGGCAAAAGTGTCCTTTTACAAATAAATCCATGGAATTGTTATCGCATCATATATTTCACCTTCCCCCTTTAGGACACAACGACCCTACATATGAAAGACATAAAGTCCAAATCAAAATTGTAATCTAATTTATAAATTTTGAACTAAATAGATTCCACCTTAAAATGAACATAAAGTTCAATTCCCTTCCAATCCTTTCAAACAAATATCTCCTAGAGTAACGGGTTGTTAGATCACACACATGACAGCCCAACAAAGCAAAGCATGACATGTCCTTATCTAATCGGATGGTCCACAAGCCATTAAAACAAAGCAGTGGCAGTGAGTCAGAAGAGTAGTGATGGAGGACGATAAGCGTAATAAAGGTGTGGGATGATTGTTAAAATTAATGAAATTTTTTATTATTAAATTATTTGAATTGTCACTTATCTGTTGACAACGGATATAAACATATAGTTTAGATTTGATACTATTTAAAAAATTTAGAATTTAAATTAAAACATATAAAAAGTGAGAGTTTGATTTGTTGATCAGGTCAAACTTCCAAATTTTTTTTAATATCCCCAGCTAAAAAAAGAAATATTGTATGATTAGCTATGAAATCAATTTTTTTAATAAATAGACTGGGGGCTCAGCTATCTAACCCATCGTCAGCTGCAAATATAAAGCACAAACCAAAGGGACCAAATGATCATTCCATCTTAGCTTTCCCTCTCAATAACAACCAACGAAGTGCCTCAAATATTTGGCACTTGGGAATACCTGATATGTTTCCACCAAAGTCATACAGTTCTAGCTTCTCTGCTAACTGTGATAGATATGGGTTGTACATCCATTATTTTCTGCTTCTGCTTCTACTCTCAGCACAAGCTGTCTTAGGCGGCCACATTGTCAAGTACTTACCGGGTTATGATGGCGAACTTCCCTTTAAACTTGAAACTGGGTATGCTCTAATTAAAGTCAAGTTTTTTGTTATTAGTGTCACGAAACAGTCTCTTTAAAAATAGAGATAGAATTGCGTATATCTTGTCATTACTGAACTTTGCTTTAATAAAAGCCTAGTGCACTGACTCCGAACACGCTAGATGATGTTACTTGAAACATGTATTTAGATTTTTTGTTGTTTTTGTTTTGCAGATATATTAGAGTAAATGAGTCGGAATTGTTCTACTATTTCATTGAGTCACAAGGGAATCCTCAAGAGGACCCGATTTTCCTTTGGCTCCCAGGCGGCCCTGGCTGTTCTTCTTTCCATGAACTTGTTTATGGATTTGGTATGTTTCTCTTAAGCCCTGTTTGTTTTTCGAGTTGAGGCTTGGGATTAGGGTCAGTAGTGAGGTTAGATTCACAATATCATGTTTGTTTGCAAAATAGTCACTGGAGTGATAATCCGTTCGGACTCTGATTCCCCTCCAACGAGGGGATTAGCAAAGGCATAGATGACTTGGTATTAGAAATTAAGCCGTTGGTATCAGAGTGTGAATGACAATTTTGCCCACAAAAATGTTCCTTCCATCTCCAAAAAATATCAACAAACCTAGAAATTTACAAAAAATTGGCTCAAAAGAGGCAACATTGTCATTCTCATCCACAAATCCACAAACTCAGAAATTTGCAAGAAAAAAAAATCATACCCGAATGAAGCAATATCATCATTCTCATTAACATTGATGATCTCGATCTTGTTCTCCGTCACCGTCGGCCTTAGATGTATGAATGAAGTAAAGGCGTCACTGTCGGCCTTACAGGGTTGAAGTCATAGAGTGAAAGGCAACATCTTTTTGTTAATGTTTTAACCATGGGCTGGTTTTGGAGAAACCATTGGTTGGTTTCTTTAATAATAAAAAAAAAATAGATTAATAGTTAAATTTTTTATTATTTTTAATTATATGATTTTAATTTTAATTTTAATTTTTGAATAGTTTAATTGGGTAATGCATTTATTAGTTGGTATAAGCTTAAATTTAATACTAGTACAACAAGGATATTTGTGTAATTTTACATGGTTAATCACATCTTTATTTCTCAAAACAAACACAAACTATTATTAGTCCACTGGTTATCAAACAAACACATTTTTCTTAATCTCCTCACTAGCAGTTCCCTCACTATTAATCTACTTTATTCTACCTCTGAAAACAAATAAGTCTTACTTTGTTTAGTACAATTATGATACTAACCCAGAAATCAAAACCCAGAATGAATTATTATGCCAAAATTTGTCCATAGGGTTAAACCTGGTGAGACTGGACTGCCTTTGATGGTCTGAGTGCGGCACAATCTGAGTTGTCAATAATTTTTTTGGGTTATAATGCTTGTATCTTTCCAATTGGCTAACTAACTTTCGATGGACTTTCTCAGACTGTTGCTACTTTCCAGTCTGTGCCCTTAGTGACACAAGATTTTGTCTTAAATTAACTATTGATCAACAATGTTTGTTACAATATGTAGTACAT